ATAGGAAAATAAAATCATAACAATGCTGGTCTTAATTTGTACAGGCAAGTAAAAAATAGTCTTTGCAAATTACAGGCGAATTAAATCAAAAAAAATTTTTTTAAATAGTCTTTCTCAAGACTCAAGATTATGATACGTCATAAAATAATCATAGTGCTTTATGAGTTATGCTGGATTTATTAAATGTCAACTGTCCTAAAATGCATGTGTGGCAACCGTAGCATCAACTTCAGGCCATGATCAATGTACGTTTCAGCCATGCATGCTCATATACACCAGTATAATAGGCATGTTATTCAGTTGGACAGGTACCTGAAAGGATCTCAAGCCTTAGTGAAAGCTATGTCGTAAGAGTGTGTACAATCATCTGTATGTGTGTGTGTGTATGTTTCAAAGTCACAGGTGCATGAGAAAATTTCATCACGTACTTAGGCCTAAGGCACTTAAAACAGAAGAACGGCTGAAATTACAAGAAAGAATGTATGGCATCTGTTCCAAATGGGGCATAGAATGTTTTCAATTAATCTCGAAACCTCATTCTATAAATTATTCGCAAATGGTCATTCCATTCCCAATCAAAGCTGTATTTATCAAGCACAAGAACTGAGGGACAAATGAAAAAAAACAACAACATTTATTTAATGTTAACATGAAACTGCATTCAGAATAGTTTTTCTTCTGTAATGCGACATTTCTGAGTAAGTGAAGTGACGTGAAGGCCTGAATTTGTCCTCTGCTCTAAGAACAGCCATTCCCTGCAGCGCCAAGGGAGCGATTGGGGGTTAGGGGCCTTGCTCGACCATCAGGTTACAGGTCTGACTCTCTAACCGTTACATCTCCAACCATGTAGGACAGAATATTAAAGAAGAAAAATGTAAGTTGGAACTTTTATCCATTGGGATCTTCATTGAGAAAAGTGGGCGTTCTAGACCAAAATGAAGCTAGACCCCATTTTGAGTTTGCATATGATTGTGGAGGACTACCCCCTTCTGAAACAGCTGCCGTCAGCCACTTTTAGCCTTTTAACTGGGACGTGGAAGCTAAAGGTCAAGTTCACCCTCAAGAGCATTACAATAGTAATGCATTATTTGGTGATTGGCAACTAATTTATTGTTATTTGTTATTATTATTGACCTAACCTTCATTGCATTAATGTCATCCGGGATAAAATGATTATTTAGAAAGCCACCATTACAAACAAAAGTAACCTAATACAAAGGCTAAATCTTTATTGATTGATTGTGCACCAGTGGCTCGCAATAAGACCAAGCAAGTGTATTAAGAAAGTAAATGCTAAATAGGGTCAATTTGTGATTCTTCAGGCTTTGTGTACTGTCACAAGTTCTTCCTTCCTGCGTCCTGTAAATAAGGGCATTACATGTCAGCCCACAGGAAATTGAGACTCAAATGTGATTGTTTCAGTTCTGGCATCAGCACTCCAGGAGCAACGTTTGATGGAAATACAGGAAGAGCTCTTTTGATCTTGCTCTGCAGGCTCTACACACACTTACAAACCCTTCTGGGAAGAGAAAATGTGACGTACTGCTGTGAGGTAAAAAAGCGTGCTCCTTACATGGACAGTGCTGTTATCTGCTAATATAGCCGGCTAATAAATCAGTCAAACAGTCAAACCAAAATGTATTCAGACACTTTCAACATTTCTCACATTATCACAGTTTATTCGCTATAGTTTATAAAATGGTAATAAAATATGACAAGAACTCAAGAGTTATCAAATCACTGGTTTTGGCCATCCTTTTGTTACAAAATCAGCCTAAAAATGAATTAGGCTGAATAGCTGTCAGCTGTTAAATTTAAGTACACAATTAGATAATACTAATTTAGGTTAACCAATAACCAGGCAATGCTTAATTTTGTTCAGTCTGTGGTGTAAAAAGGTCACATTAGCAATTAAAGAAAAAACACTTAAGCCAAACATGGTCAGGTCAAAGTGTCCGAATCATTTTTGGTCCCATATTTTAATACATTTTACTAGTAGTCCACTGTATGAAGCATTTTTGGTCACAGTTTACTTTATTTTGCTATCCTCACTTACATAAATGAACTATATCGTCTGTAGTGTAGAACTATACTGTATGTCCTGCACTATATATACCCACTAGTAAAAAAAAAAATCAAAAATGAAATCTGGTGTCTGAATAATTTTTGGTTTGACTGTACATGCTTCTTTTGCATGCAGTGTGGAACAGGCTTACATGTACAGCATACACGCACACATTCTTTTGTTTCAGCGTGGCAGTAGACCGTCGAAGAACACAGGTTCAGCAGTGCATGTCAACACTGTCTTTGTGAGGCAAAGGTACAGATAATGTTACTCGCACACGTAACGAAACACATCCCACAACCGTGGACAGATAGCAGACAGAGAGGCTGCCGTCAATTGCCACAGTGCTCAATTAGGATAAATGGAGCTATCTCTGGTGTATGTGACCTGGTTCTATAATTAACCCTGGGGGATGACAGCATTAAAGCCTGCTGTATGTATGCGTGTGAGATGTGAATGTCTCGCCTCTTACCGCCAAACCTCCACTTCAAGCACAGACACCCATACACACAGCGGTACATCAAAGCATGGCGTATGGTATGTTCTGCTCATGACAATGTTGACTGTGATTATATACAGCAATACATCCAGACCGCTGGCTTCAAGTTTAAGCTCTCTGATTTACTGTGTGTTTGGAGCAAGAGCTATTCTTGATCACACACTTGCATAAACAGTAAAAAAAAAAATCATTTCTAAACTTTTCAAGACAACTTTATAGTTATTAGCACGTATTGTAAGTTCTAATTTACAATAACTCAATGCTTTACATAAGGGGAAAAAATGCTAATTTGAGGAAAATTTGAGGAAATTTGCACCCTAGTTCAGAGATGTAATGAACAATTAATTAATCCAGTTCACAAAACTGGTCTGAATGATTCGTTCAAAACTTTTTTTTCATGTTGGAGTTTCAGAGCAGCCAGTTTATTATCCCAAAATGTATCTTTTGTGTTTAACTAAAGTAAAAAAAGCACTTTTAAACTGATAAATTTAAGCTTAAATCTTTCCCCTCCATTGGTGAGATTTTTCCGTTTTTATGACCAACGTTTCCCCCCGCCATTGATGAGTTTTTCTGGCAATCCATTTTTTCACTGTTTTACGGTAGGGGGCGCTATAACGCATCATTGCTTACGCATATGAAAGCTATGTGATCATCAAACATTCAACAGAATATAAATCAAAACTGTTTAATGTTACTGAATGAAATGTCGATCCCACAAAGAGGAATACAGGACTGTACAAGCTTTGAGGGTGTAGATTAGTGGTGTAAAGTCCGATTCATTTCCGAGAACCGGCTCTTTCGGACAGTTCGTTTCAATGAACCGGTTAAAAAAACTATCCATCGATTCCTTACGTCATCACGCAATGATGTCACTAATCATTGCTTTTCTAACTACTCAGTGTCATGTCATATCAATGACATACAAATAAAGTCATACAATATGTGTCAACGTATATTGAAACATTCAAATGAAGTTATGCATATTAGTGATTATTGTTTTTCATTTCACTTAAGTTGATGGTGTTTGTGGTCAGTTTCATTCGCTGATCCTTCATGTCGAATATGACTGACCAATCATGGATATAAGTTTCCTAAACGTTTCGCACCTACAGAACACATTACAGACATTGATGCACAAACGCAGATATGCTCTACATGTCTATAGAAACAAATAAACTCCTTGCTTTAGCTTAACATTTAATCTTAAAATATAATCAGCATGCAAACCATAGAAAAATTCTGTTTTTTCACTTGTTTTAATAAAAAAAATGTAGGCCTATTTAATAAAATTTCATAAGAAAATTACATTTTGTTTGTTATTAAAGAAACTTACATTGCACATCAGGCGCATTCAAGTCCTCGGTAATACACACGCATGTGCGTAGTGTCAGCAACTCACTCGTTATCCACGGCAAACTTCGACAGTTGGTTGAACCGGCTCATTCGGTTCTTTTTGAGTCGGACGCACTACTTCGGCTGTGCGTCTAGCGTCATCAACCCAGAACTAATGTTCTATTCAGTTTTTTTCTATCAAGATCTTTAAAGGTGAACTAAGTAACTTTTTTACCCTAACCGAACAGCTTTAGAGTCATGTTTAGAGTAATGTTTATATTACTGATTTCGTGTTGAATGGTGGTCGTCTCGCACCCCCCTGGTGCCTGTGAGCCGCAAAACCACCCTTGCAACTTTGGGCCGGCCTCAGTGTTAGGAAGTATCGTGTGATATCAGGACTCGCGAGGTAACGAATTGCTTTACAGCAAAAAACAGATCTGATAAAATTCTGATAAAATGAGCATCAAACAGAAATAACGCGGCGCCTTATACCTCTGGTGTTCGAGGCGCACATACAATACAGACTGCCGACAGTTAAACAGGGCGCGCGCAGCTCTTAAAGGGGCCATACCTTATTTCCACTCGTTACAGCGTCCATCCTACTGAACAGGTACCGGTGTACAGGGGGAGGGGATCCGGCCGTGAGTGCGAGCCATCTCTGCGTGAGTGCTATTCGCGACAGTAAAAGTACTCCACAGCGACTCTAGGGGTCACTGTTTGACAAAAACGGAATTCCTACTTAGTGCTGCTTTAAGCGAGTTAACTCAAGCAGAATGGTTTGCATTGGAAGGAGACAGGCAACAGCCTTACACATGCGTGCACAGAATTGCTTGATTGGCACGTTTTCATAGACAAAGAGCCTTAAATGACAAGAATTTGGGAGGAAACTGGAGGAAATGGTTTCAAATTGTCAGTTCAAGTTTCTGGTTACAGTTCAATGTCTAATTTTTTAACGATGCACGTTGAGTTTTTCTCATTTAAAGATCAACCTAAAAACAAACTTTTAAAAACAGATGGTTGATGTACAGCATTTCGTTTCACACTCTTGTTAGAGCAGAACATTTAGACCTGTCCTTAAACTATGCGGACAGTTATTTTTCTCACCCAGCAGTTGCACTCCTCTGGTCAGACCGTAGACATCTATAAGGGCCCACAGTGGTTCTGTGGTCCGAACGCCGCTGAAGAACAGCATGGGGCTGGAATCGTTGATGCGATAAAATACTCTCCCTTTTTTATCCACCCAGAAGGAAATGAGGTTTCCTTCGTTTGCAAACTCTTCTGGAAGGGCCTTGGCCCAGAAGCCGCTCTGGGATACCAGGTCAGGGCAGGCATATTTGGGTAGACTGTCGGGGTTGATTCGAGACGGGTCTTTAGAAGTGAAGCCCAGGCGGAGAGCGCCACTCCAGCAGCACTGCTTTTTAGTTATCTAAAGACAGGAGAAAAAGGATCTGTTATCATTACGACATAAGACGGTGTTCTTTATGAGTAGAGTAGAGTAGAGTATGCATAGCATAGAAATGTTGATGAAAAATGTGCAAAGATTGTATCTTTAGGCATGCAGCAGCTTGTCACTGGGCCAGTACCTTTAAAGGGGAATCTTTGTAACCTAAAATGTTCGTAGTAGTACTTTAAGGGCCCATATTACTACACTAAGGTACTAATATGTACCTAATTTGTGTAGATATTAAGATACAGAGTTGTCCTTTTAATTTTTGAAGCTACTTTTAAAAAGGTGCAGTGTGCCACTAGCAGCACCAAAATTAATTTAGTTTCCCAAACACAAAATTCTTAATTCACTCTCTATTTAATCAAATTTTTGTTACATTTCGTTTGTGTTTTTTTCTTTTCTGTTGGCTAAAAAGGTTCCAGTTCTTTCTTTTAAAACCTTGTTAAACATGTGATTATTTTCAATTTAATTCCATCAAAGTTGGCTCTAGTATTTCCTTCTGTAGCAGTGCTGAAGGCCAAACAGGGGGCATGTTTTGTGATGGTCATAAATGGTTGAGCGTAGCGGACAATTCAGGGGATGTATGAGGCAGTCATGTGGTGTGTTTAGACTAGAGACGCTCTGTTTTATTTGATTTACAGTAACTCCAGGAATGAGCCCTACAAACAATTCAAGAACACAATGACTTATGTCACAGCGGCCCTACGTTGCTGAGAATACCAGTATTGAGAACTTGACTAATGAGTGAGTTTACACACAAAACCCTCTGTGTATGTTGGTAGAATAACTGGTTGGTCTAGATTGAGAGCGATAGTGTGGGATTGGAGTGTTTATTTTAGTTTTTACTGCATTGACATAGAAAGAGGGAACGTGCGCAACTTCTCTAGAGTGGTGCTTTTAAAAGTACAGTAAAGATAGAAAGACAAACAAAGAAAGACAGAAAAAGAAAACACTTGCAAGCAAAAAAAAAATCATGTGAAAGGTGAAGTGCATCTTTGCACCTCTAGTGGAAACAAACGGAATTGCACAAATGTTTTCAAACATATTTCCCTAAAGTATACTTTGTTTTTTACACATACGCTAGAGCAGTGTTCCTCAAATCCAGCCCTGGAGGGCCACTGTCCTGCAGTTTAAACCATGATCGAACTTGCCAACCTGCAATTTTCTAGTAACTCTGAAGACCTTGACCAGCTTGTTCAGGTGTGTTTGATTAGGGTTGGAACTAAATTCTGCAGGACAGTGGCCCACCGGACCGAATTTGAAGAACCGTGCACTAGGGTGCACTCGAATTTTGGCATCAGGATAATGCCTACAAATAATTGCTTTTCTTTCGGCTGATAATCTGTATTATAATTATATCCACTATAAATTGGTGCATCTCTATTTACGGGTTATTTAGGGCTGGGCAACGATTAATCACATCCAAAATAAAGTTTGTGTTTACATAATATAATAATAAATATATATAATAATAAATTATGTATAAATATATATACAGTATATACATTTCTTAAATATATACATTAGGGGTGTCACGATTCTCCAAATCCTCGATTCGATTAAATTTTCGATTCTACGGTCACGGTTCGATTCGATTCTCGATGATTTTTACATTTATTTTTTTAAAGCCGAAACCGGCCAATCAGGATGCTCTCTGTCTTACATGCGCTTCATGAGGCACACACGCAAGATCTCTCGCTCTCTCCCGTGCGCGCGCTATACGGTTTGGAGCACAGTTTTTTCTGTCTCGCATGCGCGATTGCGCGCTCTTGCTCGCTCGCTCACTCTAGATTCCGGGAGATTTTAACTAATTTGCGGGCATCAGGGAGCCGCTAACGCTATCAATATGCGGGAGACTCCAGGAACTTCCGCGAGACTTGGGATGTCTGCAAAGTAAACTGTGGCTTTTTTGAAGCGCGAACGTTGTCAACATAACTCACTGGAAATCCAAAAAACTTACACACCTGCGACTTCAATGAAAGAGGAGGGGGTTCAAGTTCTGTCGATGGGTCTCCTGCATCTGCAGTTGCCATGCTGTCTTTTGAATAGCTAAGTTAGAGAAGGTTGACCATAGACTCACAGCTTTTCAACACGCGTGTTTTTTTCCCGCTTGGCACGCCGACCGGACGTGACATGGGGGCGTGACAGCATCGACGATTCCATTTTTTTATTCGATCGATTCAACAAAAAAAAAAATTTCGATCGATTTCGATTTAAGATCGAAATCGTGACACCCTTAATATACATGCATACAGGGGCGTAGAATTTAGTAGGGACGCTAGGGACGTGTCCCTACCAATATCCAGTGACACTGATATATCCCGAGCAATATTTTCGATCAAAACTTTAAATATATTAAATATTTATGTCCCCGTCCCCACCAATTTCAAAATCAAACCTATGCCACTGCATGCATATGTGTGTATTTAAATATACAAAATAATTATACGCAGCACACACACACACACATGTATTATGTAAACACAAACTTTTATTTTGGATGCGATTAATCGTTGCCCAGCCCTAATTTTAACATAAAAAAATGATACCCTTTAAAAAAAGACAGATGAGATTTCTTTTTCTTTGCTGCAGCAGACACTTGGAAATGTTCACATACACCTTGTGTGTCGTCCACTTGAGTAATCCGGATCCACCATCCCCCTCAGACTATCCCACAGTTCCCAAATATTCAACTTGCCCTAGATTCATCTATCCTTGTTCTTACCTTTAAGCGGACCTGCTCATAAAGAGCAATGGGTCGGTTGCTGAACGTGATTGCGTTGCAGAAGCTGGCCTGGCGTTTGACGCTCCTCTGTGATAGATCCATGACTATCTGAGACCCTTTAGCATTGGGGTGGAAGAGAAGGGGGCTCATGGGGACACCTCCGCACGGATGCAAGGGTAAACAGCGCTTCGGTTTGTGGTGGCATCGGTGAGCTGTTGAGGGGAACGGACCACCTAGAGAGTCTAGAAGAGAGAAAGAAAGACGATTTATAAACCATGGTCTGTCAATACTGCAAAAAATACTGCAAATGATAAAAATACATAATGGTGTGAAAATAAGTCTTCTCTGTTTAGACCCCCAGCTCAAAATGACTAAAGCCTGGCCTTTACTTTCAAATCAATGAACCGCGTAAAATAGCATCAGCCCTTGCATGGTGAGATTTGTCTGACCCCATTTATGTACAGCATTTTTAGTTTTGTAGATAAATCTGATACATCTTCTTCCCAACAGGCTGCACTGAACTGCAAAATTTCAGTACTGAAGCATAAAGTGCTACAGTGTTTCCTACAGCATTTAATTATTGCAATTCGTTTACGAATTGGATATTATGTTGCACTGCAGATTTGTCTTTGCTTGTAGTCACGTAATGGAAAATTTAGTTATTATTATTGTCACCGTATTAATTCATAACATTTTTCTCACTCACAACTCAAATGTGTGTGCATGCATGCGAGTGTGTGCGTGTGTGTAAAGCTCCACTCCTGAATAGAGTTGCAGGAAACACAGGCATGCTCATTTGAGTCTTAAGTGCACATATACAACATGAATGATGAACAACGCACAAGCAAGGTCTGAACGCTATTTAATTATGCATCCATGTGGCGAAACAATAGAGGTTTTCTAGTCATTTTAAACTAGGCCTTCTATCTAAACTAGTAGAGCTATATCTCATTCTATCAATCTATCGTATTATCATTATAGCGTTCTATCTATCCATCTATCTATCTATCGTATAACCTTCAACACACTTCTTTCTTCTAGGCAAGGCAACTTTTTCTGACAAAATGTTAATATATATATATATATATATATATATATATATATATATATATATTTAAATTTTTAATTATGAAAAAATCGGTTTGAATAAATTATTAATTGACTCGCTCATAACTTCACTTAATGAATCAGCGTTTTTTAAAGGTGACCTATAATTCAAAATTGAATTTACCTTGGTATAGTCAAATAACAAGAGTTCAGTGCATGGACATGACATAGAGTGAATCTCAAACTGGACTGTTTTCGCGTTCTCATTTAATTCACGTTTATGAAAAACACCCCTGAAAAACGGCCGGTTCTCCACACAATACCGACTGTGACGCAATAGTCGGGATCATTAATATGTACGCCTCCAAATATTTGCATAATGCCAGCCCTCAATGCCAGGCGGAACTGCGCAGCCGAAGCATGGCAGTTGCTCAGTGTGGATGTACACATGAACACAAAAGTATTTTTTAGTTGCTTCATCTGAGCCTCTGAAGAAACAATGGGTTAATTTTATTTTCTCTGGAAATTTCCAAACATTTCACAGACTGTTTCCTCAACTTGGGCCAATACAGAGCTGGCCTCGGATCGAGCTACCAAGCAACACTTTCTGATGTGTAATTGTTCAAGTTCAGACAGGTAATCTTTCTCTCAAAATCGTTCAATACTGTTTATGCATCAGTAAGTCAAGCCAGTGACTAAAATATCAGCTTCACATCGTTTCTTTTAGTAGGATGAAAATAATCGTATTTAAATTGTGAACAAATTATATACAGAAAGCGATCAAAGAACAATCTTTCCACACAGCGCGAGTTTATCTGGACACTTGCCAAACTCGTTATGAAATCAATGACGCACGTTACTGCACAACGAAGCTCTTACTGTATTTACATCATCGTGTTTGCATTGGTGAAAGCATTAGAGAGTGCAGAAACTGCTTTGCAATGATAAGATCTTCATTCTCGCGATCAACACTGTCATCTGCTCAATGCTCATCACGGTAACATTTTATGTGATGGGAATAGATCTAAATACTTTAAAAACATCTCACGATTCGTTCATCTCCATAGCTGTTATAGTAAAAACGTATAATAGCAGTAGTAAAAGTATTCGGGAGAGAGTTTCACATGTAATGCGTAGCTATTTCATATGCAAGCATGTCAGCCAATCACAGCAGTGGCCGCGGTTACACTGAATCCCACAGCAGACACGCCCCTTCAAACAGAGTGTTCAAATCAGAGGCTAAAAGCAGGCTAGGAAAAATGCCATTTATTTCTAAATTATGATTATTTTTTATCTAAAAAACATACTAACATTATAAGGGTAACCCAGGAAACATTATAGAAAAATAAAAAAAAACATTCTAGGGCACCTTTAACAAATCTCTTGAAAGAATTATTCAATGACAAATAAATTTGTCGCCACCTACTGGTGTAATGATGTAATTAAGACAATCTTTATTTAAACCATCAAGTTATTTTCAAAAGATGATTTACTCTATTTTGATCGCTGCCATAGATATCAGTGTTTATATCTGAAGCATGAACTTTTATCCCAGTACTTCTGTGATAATTTGAATTATTGTAACACAGAAATAATGCACAGTTGGCACAATGTCGCATTTAGAGACATCCATGAGAGGTTCCAGCTTTATGGCTTTCCTATCTACATTCATTCATGTCCAACATTCACAGAGTTGGCAAGGGGTTCCTTTAACAAGATAACACACCCTCACAGGTCCGTAATGGCACGGTTGGAGGAGCGTCCAGTGATGACACCAGTCCTCTCAGCTATTGTGGCTCCCATGTAGAAACTGATAGTGGGCAATGACATGTTTCCTGAGCAATGCAGATAAGGCTACACTGGTCACCAGAGAAGAGAATATAGACTAGAAATGTTTGTCTATATCTGGCCATGTAAATAGCCTATGTAAACCATCATATGAGAAAACGTTAATTTGCTTTTCAGACTTTGTACGTTGCATACATGTGTCTGTAGTGTGTGTGTGTGTGTGGGCAGGTCTGTTTGCGGACGGACACTGTGTATAACACTCATAGTCTGAGCACACTGAAATGAATACATTAGCAAACACAAGAGCTGCAGCTGTCAGACAGAAAATGGAGGTTAAGTAGCAGCTCATGTTCCTTAGCAACGCTGCCATGGCGAGAGTTTCCGTTTTCTGCTGAGCTGAGTTCAGTGTGTGTGCTTTCGCTTCATCTGTACGGACACGGGAAGTTGGTCCCAGATCAGTGCAAAATCTCTCAAGGTTTAATCTGCAAAAAAAGTCCCCACTTTGGGTCTAGGTGGAAGACACGTTGCAGAACTAGTTAAGGTGCCGCGCCGTTAAATGTTCAGTCAACAACTGAGGTCCATTATTCCAAATAATTCAATTAAAAATGTATTTAAATGAACTTGAAATCAAAATGGGCCCCATTGTCGTTCTTAATGATGTTCCTGGTCTTATTGTGAATTATTCATTGCTGCACATTATTCCAAAGAAAAAAGATATAGGTATTGATTTAGCAAACTTATATCAAGTCTGGCTCCATTCTATAATGCAACACTGACTTTTTATGATTCATCAAATCCCAACCCACAATTTTCTCTGTTAAAAATGTGTTGTGAACAGCAATTCACATAGCCTTTAATACATTTCTGTTGTCATCCTAAATTTTATTACATAAGATGCACTTAAGTCATAAAAAGTAACCGGACATGCAGAAACACAAACACTCTTTGTAAGTAATAGAAGCCACCAGTGACATAGCCAACAACACACAAGCAGATTCCACCCTGGGCTACGGAACACATCATAATGCTGCTATTTCTATGGTAACCACATTCTTTTTTAAGGTAACCAATGGACAGAAGATGTTTCTTACATAAGTTTATTCCATAAAGAACAGCTTGGAGGGCCTGAATCAACACACTCGAGCATTTGAATAATCTAGGGCTTTCAAAAATAATGTTATTTTGTGTTTAACGCATCACAAATATATAACGCAATTAACAGCATTTTCTCCCTTCCAGAAGTAGCAATGCTATAATGTCTGCCCACATCCTTTGGTTAGTAGGGATGTAACGATTCACTCATCTCACGATGCGATACGATTCACGATACTGGATTCACGATACGATTTTCTCACGATTTTTTTTAACAAATGAGATTTAAGACAAAAGTGTCCCTTTCATTATTTCTCAGACAAAATGCTGCACATTTTTTTTTTCATTTAAAATATATTTGTCAAATAATAAAACTACATTAAAAAAATTCCCTTCAAGGTTATTTCAACTCAGTCTTTCTGTCTGTTTGGTCAAGAGGCTGGACACTTCTTCGCACACTATGTAAAAGACTGTGTAAAATTAGTACCAGATTGACAGGGGTTTTACATTGTAATAAAGGCAAGATTCTAATTTTGTTATAATTTGTATCATTACACAGTAAGAGTTAAAAAAAAACTCATTTAGAGAAAGAGATAGTAAAATAAATACAACACCTGCTTGCCACGGAAACACTGATGCACCTTGTGATCTCCGTGGCTCTCTCGCAATTGTCGTATTAATGACTTTTACATGAAAACGGAGGTGACTGGTGCTTCTCACGGTGGTGATTATTATTAGTCTACGGAAAGTCAAAATGCCGCCACACCTCCGATTTGAATGAGTCAACGTCAACATCTACGCTTGCCGTCGCCATGTCTACTGTTTGACGGCGTGTGCACACCGGTCTATGGCACACACTGGTGCGGCGCGAGCGGAGCAAACCGAGCGTTTTCAGTTCATTCCTATGGAAGTTGAGCTTGGCTCACACCATAGATATAAACACTAGATGTCGCCTTGGGGTTCTAAACATGCGTCAAAACCGCCGCCATCTTGGAACAGGGGTCTTATCATAGGAAGTAGCTAGATAACGCTGAATTCATGAATGATGCCGGACTTTTGTGCTGCGTATGGATGTTTACACGAACGAAATCTAAAAACCAGACATCAAGGGATTACATTTCACAAGATTGTGAAATTTTGTAAATTTTTTTAAATTTCTCTGGACTCTATAATAAATACATGTCTGACCGTTGGAACGAACCAAAACAACTAGAAAATCGCATTCATGACGATTTATGGTGATTTTATTTCCGTTAGACCTTTTCCTACATTGACGCTGATGAGGGGTTCCCCTGTTTCAAGATGGCGGCTCTAT